GCACAGGTGTATCTTATATAAATCCAACTCAATTACAGTCCACACAGGGATCTATATTATATCCTGAAAAGGTTMGACAACCTCCTGTTATGTCAAGTCTGAACACTACATCAGTAAGAAAGTAAAAGCGATTTTCCTGTCTAAAAAAAAATCCAGGGATGCTAAATCAACWAGGTAAAATTAGAGGCTTTAAAATCTGTCATTTAAATATGAGAAGTCTTGTACCTAAACTGGATGAATTCAAAGTAATACTTGCTCAGACACAAGCACATGTTATGGCTATATCAGAATCATGGATGACTCCTGTTATACCAAATTCGTTTCTTTCAGTTGAAAATAATTCATTGTATCGTAGAGACCGTTCTGATAGAGACGTCTTATTTTGCAAATGCTGCCTTCCTGAAATTTGGTATGCTTGTTTGTCTTTGTGTCTATGGTGTATAATGATGTGATTGTGATGCTGTAATTCTGAGTGTTTTATGTGCTGCAGAACAGGAACCTGCTGTAAAACAGCAATTGTGCTGAGTCAGGCTTGATTTTTAATAATCTTTTCCTGTTAAATAAATAAATCAAATCAAAAACCAAATGAGGTCTCCCAGTCAGTTTTACATCAATGATGACATCCAAAAACTTCACCTCACTGACTCTACTTTTTTCTTGCCATTTTCTCAGTTTTAATTCATCAACTATGTACATTGTAGTGCTAACACTGCTGGCTGCATTTCTGTTAAACGTACATTAGTTTCTGAACAGAGTGTAACTGAAAAAAAAAACAACTTTTTATAAAATGTTTTTTTAAACGTCGACTCTTGTATTTTAAAGAGATGCAGCTTGACCTCATCAGACACTTCAAACAGGACTGAAAACAAATAAACTCAAGGACTCACACGTCACTTTGATGAGTGTAAATGCGATCAAACAAAGCTTCAGGTGCCATCCACTTCACTGGCAAACGACCCTGTGGGAACATTGATCTGTCAACATCATGGCTTAATGTGATTTCATTGATGTTACGTCTGTTAAAAGTCCCCTGCCTTACATTGGTGGTCTTCTTGTAGTAGTCGATGTGGTGGATATCTCGGGCGAGGCCAAAGTCAGCGATCTTCATCAGGTTGTCTTCAGTGACCAGGACGTTCCTGGCAGCTAGATCTCTATGAATACACTGAAACACACACACACAGAAAAAAAAAGTGTATAGAGCTGAGTAAAGTGGAAATAAATACAAGGCAGGTAATATATATCTGCAGGAATCACTTCCTGCTTTATTTAATTACCAGTGGAGATATGTATAAATAATGTATTTATAATTTTCAGGTTCAGTTCTTGAACTAATGCTAAATGAATGAACAAACCTAAATGAGGAGATACAGTACATTTTATTCAGATTTTGTATATGCTGGGAAATCAATTATTACAAGGTATTAGAATACTAATGAAGATTTATTTTTTCTGACGCAGTACAAATTTATTTTAACCAGCCTTTTACTATGATGTATTTACTGTATGGGTGTGCATAATAAGACCACGACTCTCATTTTTCAGTCAGCTTACAGTAAAAACAAGTTGCTAATATATATACTATATATATATATTGTTAGGCAAAGTGGACTACATTTTAAAACTATCAAGGATGACAGTTGATGCTAAAATTAGATGTAAATGTTAGTCATATTTTTATTCATTGTAGAAAGAGAATAATTTATTATCTTTCAGTCACATGGAAGGACAAAAATTCCAAAGAACATTTATTTTCTCAGTGCTTTCAAGAAATTTACTAAATTATTAAAAATTTAACATCTAATTTCATGTTTCTCAAACTGTGGTTCAAGTATAACTTGTTGTACTATAGCAAGGGTTCTTAACCTTTTTGACCTCGGGGCCCAATTTGTTGAACATAAAGTGGCACGAGGCCCAGTTAGACATTACCAATGTATGGATCAAAATGATAATTATTCTAATCTAAATCTTGGTTTAATTTTTATTGTATTTACATCATAACTAAACTATCATAACTAACTAAATTAAATATACTTACAGTTTAAAAGTAAATTTCCTGTCAAATAATCACAAAACATGATTTTGACAAACATTTTTATATTGTAACCTGCCCAGAACAATTATTTGAACAAATAGGTCAGTCAACAGACCACTCAGGCTTATCAACACAATATACTGTACATATATTTTTAACATAAACAACAAAAATAGACAATTCAAAAATTAAGATTGTGAGCATAAAATACATGAAGAATGTTTAACGTTTCAAATAAAAAAAACTGTAAAAATAAATTTAATAAAGTACAAATGAAAATATAGCACTTTTAAACTTTTGCAACCAGAAGCTGCTCTTCATTTTAGGGACAAACAATAACAGTAACAACAGCTTTTTGACAAGTTTAAAATTTCTTTAAAATACATTCAAAATGTTTAAAAATAAACTACAAAATTTATTTAAAAATTAAAATATAGTTTTATCTGCAACTGTATTTGATAATGTTTTGACCTTTTAAAACATTGCATGGTAAAAACAGAAGCTGCACTTCATATTAGTGACAAACTTTGGTGTTTTTTGATGAGTTATTTTCATTTTTGCTTCTACTTTTAATTTAAAATAGGTTTCCATTCTCTGCAGTTTTTTAAGGTTCTTCTTCTACGTATTAAAAAAGTTGTTAAACAACTGAGTGTTGCACTACCGCTCCTAGTGGTGAGAAAGTGTATTGCACCTTATTCAAAATCAATGCGGTCCGGCGGCCCTCTACGGCCCAAAGTTAAAAACTGTTGTTCTTTTGAGGCCCTCAAGGTGGTGGCCCATTTGAAACTAGGTAAATGCAATGTGTAAAAATGTCTTTGTCACCTTCTTTGAAGCAAGGTACGCCATTCCTCGGGCCACCTGATACGCAGCAGACACCAGCTCCCTGATCTCCACCTTGCCCAGCGCAGCGTGCTGCACGCCACTCCAATACTCCAGCCCAGCAGGCCGCCGAGTGCGCAGATACTCCCTCAGATTCCCCTGAGAGGCATACTCCACTATCACGTACAGGGGGCCTGTTCCAGATCACAGTGACTCGTTCAGTACATAACAAGCCCATTAATGAATAAAACATTTCCCGCACGGCTCAGTTAGTCATTCAGAAACAACAGCACTCACCATCCTGGGTACAGGCGCCGAGGAGGTTGATGATGTTTTTATGTTTTCCGATCATTTTCATCATCTCCATTTCAGAGATCAGATCAGACAGGTCCTTCTCTGAAGCATCGGCTGGACACAACAACTTGTTATACGACTCTTGACAACAACTGTCTACAGATGCTTCAGCAAGAATCCACAAACCTACACTAATAGTGGTACATATTACAACAAATAAACAAAGCTTTTCTCTTACTTTTGAGCATCTTCACAGCCACCTTGGTGAGGCGTGTGGGTTTGTTTTTGTCAATCCCAAGAGCTTCAGCAAGGACCACCTGACCAAAGCAGCCTTCTCCCAGAGGCTTCCCTAGAGTGAGCCTATTAAAAAAGCACCAAAGGCAGCAAGAACTTATGAAAGAGGGTTCAATTTGAGAAATGACACCTTTGTTAGATCCCTAAACTCAAAGAAGTCGTGCAAATTAGGCAAACACAAACCAGAAAGCACAACCAAGACTTTAAAACTTTAAGCACCAAAGCAATTCTGACATTCTGTCTATGGCTATGTGCACACTGCAGGCAAATGTGACCCATATCAAATTTTTCCAGCCAGTCTGAATGTGACACATCAGATTATTTTCTAATTTTGACCCAGGCCTTTTTAGTATGTGTTGCTAAATCAGATACATATCTGATGTTTTTCAAAGTGACCTCAGTCTGGACGCTCGTGTCACATTTCATCTGACTTTTACGTCAGTGAGGTCGGGGTATACGGATCGAACCAAGCATTTAGTAAGGGTATTGATACCAGTATTGATATTACCAATACCAAAATGAGTATCAATACTGGATCGATATTAGCATGATGGAACTAATTCTTTTGCTTACACTTTGTTTGCACTACTGACTTTAATGTTCCCAAGGAAAGGGAAAAATAAAGTCAGTAGTGCAGTGTCCAAATTATTTGGCGTTAGTCATTAGTCCTCTACAACATGCCTGCATGCAATGGAAGTTAATTTTTGTTGTGTTGTTGACATTATTATATTTATATTTTTGTTACATTGTTGCCTCTACTTTATTTTGCACAAGTTGTTTTTTTAAACATGTGCAGTAGAAGATAAGCTAATACATTTTTGTAGTTAGTCAAAACCTTTTATTTCCCTCACCCTGTAAATCAGTACAAATGAGGACAGCAATATGGAACTCAGATTTTTTTATTTGTGTTAGTGTGGAAAACTGATGACATTTCTGCTTCAGAAGCCGGACTGGAATGAACACTCACTATTTGCATGTCAACTAGGAACCTGTATAGGATGCTTGTAATGTATGTGCATCATGTACAGTGGATAAAGAGCTGTCATACCGGTCACGTGGAAGCTCCCACGCAGGATCATAAGGAAGTTCGTACTCTGACACTCCTGCCAGAACAGTGGTGGCTGCACTGGAGAGACGGGACTGACGCATTAAACACGTCCCAGACTGCAAGGAGAACGAGGAGTCAACTGATACCTGCAGAGAGACATAGAAACAATGAGACATTTTACACTGGATGTTGACGAGGAGAGAGCAGCAATAAAACCAGAGACCTGCTGCCTCACCTGTCTCCTCATAGGAATGCTCTTGGCTAATTTCTGCACCGCCAGCTGACTGGTGAAGTCACTCTTTTTCGGGGCGCAGCAGAGTCGACATATGACTGCTGTGGCGGTCAGGACGACGACGATGAAAAACCCAAGGCAGTAGATGAAGATCTCCAGGTATGTCTGGGAGGGGACTGGCGAAGGTGGCAACTCTAAGATGAGAAACGCCACGGTGAACCAAGAGAATTACTTTAGAGTCTGCCCACGCACACGGATTCATCTGACCATACCGTCGACCACAGTGAGCCACGCAGAGTGATACGACATGCCGATGGAGTTTCCCGCAAGGCAGGTGTATTCTCCAGCATCATCCAGAGTTACGTTCTTCAAAGTCAAAACTTCCATTTCTTTATCTGTTGTGTTCAAACCCGCAGTCTAGGGAAAAGAAACAGAAATCAATAGATTAGCAGTTTTGTCAGATATGAGCAAACTTTGACCAAACTCCAGATAATCACCTAAACTATGGCAGATTAGTGGTAATGATATAGGTTAAATACACAATGTTTTTACTTTTACCACTTAAAAGTACAGCAAATAAGTTGAAAATTTGTAGTAATATTACATTTTAGGGGATTTCCCAATACCAGTTTTTCTCAAACTGAGTACGAGTAATTTAGTTTGGGTAATAATCAATACTGAGTACTAATACACAGTCCTTACTGAGTTAGAACTTAAACATTACACAATGACCTTTAAAAAAACACTTTTGTTTTATTTAGAATAAGGTGTCTCTACTTCCTTATAGCTCTATAACCCCTCTCACTGGATCAAATCAAATATACAGCATGACATATACTGTTGCAAAATGTTTAATCAATAACAACAACAAATAAGACTTTATTTCTACGTGTACAACTTTCTTAAATATGGAAACAACAAAACTTTCATTTGAAATTTAAACAGTAACACATTCAATGGAGTGTCGAAACCAGGATCTCAGTTTCACTACTGGTATTGGTATCGTTCTGAGTACTGGGGCATATTTTACAAGTATGAGTACATGTCCTGATGCATCTCAATAATCCAGGTAAAAAATCAAAAAGGAAAAAAATTGTATAGGTCCTCTGGACGGGTTCTTCTTTAATGAAACGTTTAGTCTCTCCTCCAAGAGACTTCTTCAGTCTGAGAGTTTCAGGCAATTCAGGCTTTTGAGTCCTGCATCAAGGTGACTGATGCTCACATCACATGGCTATCGTTCACAGGTGACTGATACTCACATCACATGGCTATCGTTCACACCTAATTAATACCTATTGTTAACAGGGGGTAGAGTGATACTGCCAATGGCAGCGCTGTAGGAGGGGGACAGCTGAAAACGGAGGCCTCCACCTCTGTTTAATGATGGACGGTCTTTCTTCACAAAAATGGCTTCTTTTACTCCTCTCTCAAACCAACGTTCCTCTCTATCAAGAATGAGAACATCCTCATCTCTGAAAGAGTGACCACTGGCCTGTAAATGAGTGAAAACTGCAGAGTTCTGACCATTAGAATTAGCTCGTCTGACGAGCCGGTGGTCTCAACCCGAGGCCGAGCCTCTAAGTGTGTTTTTAACTCCCATGGGGAGCTTTTATTTTGGAAGGAGGAACCGGATATGGCTTGAATTTTTCTGGCTTGGACTGAAACAAACGAAAGTTACCTGGAAAACACCTGTTCGCCAATGACCGGTAAGCGAGCCGACATCAGTTTCCTGACTGATCGGAGGCGAGCCAGCTCCTACGCCGAGGGTGCCTTAAGAAGCCATCATCAGGTAAAAGTTGATGTGTTCGGAGTGATGTGTCATGTGGAACCTGAGCTTAGAAAAGACGTGTAGTTCCGGTTGACCCACACTTTGATAAAAGTAAAAGTCATAGTAACATACTAATCTTACTTTCCTCCTTTCCTTGTTCTTAATTTGCCAAAACTTAATCTAAAAGTGCCAGTAAAATTGTTTGGTTGTTAACATCAGAACTGATGTTTTACTGTTCTACATAAGTAGTCTGAGTTGATGTGAATTGAAATTCAGACACGAGTTTTATCTCATTTAACTCTGACACTTGTTATAGGAATAACCACATTTAAGTGTAACTTATGATCTGTTCAATTTGTGTAAATAAATGATTGCATAGTCTTTTATGAATCAACTTGAACTTGTCTGAACGTTCACTTATTGTGTCACTTTTCACTTCGCACAGTCAAGATATTAACAAGTAATGAGAAATACCTTGGTAAATGTTTTCCTCATAACATTGTGTATGAGAGATGTGGGAAAAGCTTAATTCACCTTAAGCTCACTCTTACACATTTTACACAGCCATTATTTACATCTGGCACAGGTTTTCTGTTAAGAAAACAAGTGAATAACAGAGAAAATCTTATTTGAAACAAGTCTTTAAAAAATACTCAAAAAAACTGAATAAATTCCACTTCTCCCCTCTTTTTACTTCATAAAGAAGTAGAATAATACACTAATGACTTCTACCTTCAGACTAGACATAACAGTGACTGAGTCTATTTCATCAGAAGTCCACAACTTATGTGAACTGACAGTGTGCGCTCAAAGACAAATGAGACCAGCGCCATGCAGCAGAGACTGTCTCATCTAATACGATGAAGTTCAATAGCATCAGTAAATCATTGCAGAACTCTCACATGCTGCTGCCGTACAGTCTAAAGATCAGTTTCTTCATCCTGCTGCACTCAAACATCAAGCGTCAGATCTGAACTGCGTCTGGTTGAGATTAATAGTGAAATATTTTTGAATGTTCATATTAGCTTTCTTACAGATGTTTAAAGTTGAAGAAATTAATTGGGGTAGTTTACTACTGACTTTTAAAGACACTACACATTGTAGTCTTTTATTACATGAACAGTAATATCTTTTTATAATGTGGTTAATTCTGAATTGATGCTTTTATGTGCAGGCTGAGTTGTGGGACTCTTGACCAGGGTTTCACAGACTCAGGAGGCTTTTAGTTAGATAGATGCCTGATTTAAAACAACACATATAAGAACCATAATTAAACATTAGCGTGAGGAATAATGTCTGGCATCTTGACTCAGTGTAGAAATAGCCTGCCCCTTTAACATATGTCATGAGGCGGGGTCAGGATGTGAAGAGGTTTGTTACTTGATGTGTGTTTTCGGGTCCTGGGCACTGCTTAGCTGATGTCTGTCGGAGGCAGATTTAAACAAAAGCTTATCAGTCCACAGCTGTGTCCGGGTGGTTTTGTATGGCTCACTCAAACATTCACGTCATTATTATTAACTGCTGTTAGATCTGAACAGGTAACAGGTAAAGAACATTGCTTATTTTTTAACAAAGTTGTGCGCACAACCAGCTAGTGATCTAATCAATACCCAGTTTCAAATCAGACCCAGCAGCCCGGTCCGAAGAGAAACTCAGAAGCCTCATTTAGACTTGGCATGGTGTACAGTCAGATCAAGAAAACAGCATTCAAGAATAAATCCAGATGTATTCAACTGTGCATATGTCAGAATCCAAGTGCATTTCTTTTATACATCATAAAAAAACATGGAACTGTGAGACACCTCCCCTGATACGCCTCTACTGAAACACAGTTTGTTAACTAGATGGAAATGTGTCCAGAGTGGGTGATGAACATTTGACGTGATCTTTGCGCAATCAGAACTGATTTCTAGATGCAGGAAAATCATGAAATAAATGTAATGTGAGTGAGGAAAAAAACCTCAAGTAAGTAGTGGGGAGTGAAAATGTGTTTGTCTTGCACAAAAGACTAGTCACTGTGGTGCGTGTGTGTGTGTGTGTGTGTGTGTGTGTGTGTGTGTGTGTGTGTGTGT